AAGATACGTAAACTCCACTTAAATGGGGATTTAGAGCCCTAACACATGTCCAAATGCCTTGAAACTCAACCAATGGCCTTGTGGTAAAATCTGGATGCATCTAAAAATAGTTTAAGGGTTTGAAACATATCAAAAGTGTCATTTATAGGAGTTTACGGCCTAGGAACACATCCTTGGCCGTAAACTCATAAAACTATGTTAATGATGCATCAAATACACTCAAATAGGTTGTTTAAATCTCTAGAATCACATGTGATTGTTTTAAACATCAAAAACTATCTTTTTCATGGGTAAATAAGAGTTTATAGCCTTAGAACATACCTCTAGGCCGTAAGCTCGAATAAGTGTGTTAAATGAAGTTCTAAATTCATAACAAGGCTTGGAAAATTAACTAGAATCACATGTGATTGTCCTTTGAAGCTCAAATCAATTTTCCTTGGCCATAGGTGAGTTTACGGCCGTAAACTCCTATGGTATGGCCGTAAACTCCCTTTTAAGTGTTATAATTTCATACAATCCATTCCAAGGCATTTTAGAAATCCATTCCAACAATCCACATGTCCATTTAAGCCATTTAAACACCCAAAATCACACCCACATGAGTTTACGGCCGTAAAATCATGTATGTGTGTGTTCAATGGCTCTAAACTCCTTAAAATGTTTACTCTTGGGGATTAAACTCAAGTCCCAAGTCCCTAGTGCCATTACACGTCCGAAGATGTCACCTGGGTCACCCCAAACGCTCATTTTGAGGCGTTTAACCTCATTGGAGTGTAATGTTCCATATGATTAGTGAATGTATCCCTAATTGTATATATATAGACATTATATCATTTTACATAGGGACATCGCGAGTAATCAAACCCCGAACCAACGTCCAGTATTCGAAACCGACACACTTCCGGGTCCGATGAGTTCATACCCCCTACCTTTTTTCACTGTTATCACTGTTGTCAGGGGGGAACACAAGCAAAGTACAAGGGAATTCTTGTACTCAAAACATGTTTTCAAATGTGTGTTTCATATTTCATATGCTTTCATAACTGATTACCTCAACTGATAATAGATTGAACATACAGATCACGTAACCTGTATTTGTGAAATAGGCCTTTAAACTGTTATGTTTTACATATATTTCACAAATGGTTTTCCACACTTTATCAGTTAAAAGTATGACATTAAACATTTGAACAAAATACCTGTACACTGTTTTGTCCTCGGTAACACTCCACACTCATACGCGAGTGGAGGACTATCATATTATTACCAGTAAATTTGTTAATCCTGTATGATTGGAGACACGTCCTCGGAGAACACTCCACCGAGATACACGAGTGGAGGACTACACCCATAACCAGAATCTCTGGTATTTAGAGAGCGTGACTTGAGTGTATAGATCTATATGGGGCTGACTACCCCACACCTGGCTGCTAGCTACAGCCGAACCGAAATGGTTCAAGGGTGACGAAAGTCATAAGTATGTGGACTACTTATTGCCACATGTGGACTACTTATTGCCACAGGTATTAGTCTATTGTATGGTTATGGAACTCGCAATTAGGATAACAGAGATTTACTTATAGTAATAATGAACCACTTTATACATCTTTTACATCGTTCACGTACTGTAACTAACATTCAGGAAAGTAGGGGACTCTCCTGGGGAAAACATGGAACCTAATCATGATTACATCTTTTACATCTTTAACATCGTTTACATTAGAAACCAACATGCAGGAAAGCATGGGGCTTTCCTGGGTAACACTTACATAACTAGAAAGAGTAATAAACTGGATAACATTACATCTTTTACAATTTGTAACATACAACAAGGAAAGTATGGGACTTTCCTGGTAACACATGATAAGTAAACAGAACAGTTTAACAAGTCAGATAACCAACTATACATTTTCATATGAGTAGACATGTTTTCAGTGTACAAACTTACTATACTTTACATTTGTGAAACAATAACCAACTATTAAGAAAATTGGTGCATATAACATTTCAGAAACAGAAAGGAAACTCGAAACATTTTCACAAACAAAAGCCGCTTATGAACTCACCAGCTTTATGCTGATTTTCAAACCACTTGTGTTCTCAGGTCAGCGTTAGAACAGGTACTCGAAGATCCTTTTTGCTTGAAGACGGTGTACATGAAGATCCATTTCTTTTGTTTATATATACTATGTATCACAACTGTACAAACTTTACTTTTGAAACAACTGTAAAACTTTTATTATGTAATGTAATGGTTGTTTTACTTTACTTACTATGTGCATTGGATTTGATACTCAACTTGGAGTCAACTCCGGGAACATTTCCGCCTTTGGTTTTCGGGGTGTGACGATAATAATATTGTTATTTGATTAATATAAGTCATAGATTAATTAGTATTAATTTGGTGACTTAAAGGGATTAATTAAATAAGAGGGTATAAACTGACAATTGTTTGATAGTTACACTTTAGGCTATGAATCCTTATGGGATATAGGGTGGACGATTTCTAGGGCTAGGATAAGCCTCAAATTCGTCCAAAGGATATCCATGGAAAGGATTAGGATTACTTAGAGTCTAAGTTATCCAATTAAGGTTAAAGGTGAAACCTAGGAGCCTTACAAGTATAAATAGACCCCTTGGGATAGGGAAATCGAACCTCCTCTACAGCAAGGAAACCCTGGCCGATTTCCTCCTCTCTCCTCTCTCTCAAATCATTCTCATTGCTAGTTGGTGTTTGTAAGCCATTAGAGGAGTGACAATTGTGACTCTAAAGCTCCAAGAACAAGAAGATCAAACAAGTGTTTCAAGGTATGATTCTAACTATGGTTTTGTATTGCTCTTATACCTAATTAGCCATTAGAAGTCTTGGATTCAATGCATGTTTAATTAGAGAAACCTAGATCCAAGCATTAGGGTTTGTATGTGCACATAGGAATGTTCATATGACCAAAACCCATCACAAACAAGGTTTGGAGTAACTGGGTTCCCGACTATTTTTGCATTTGGTCCAGATAAATGTGCAGCTACCACCGGAGTAACTGAAAGAATTGCAGACGCACCTGAAAAGGCAGGCCTATCTTACCATGACAAAGCTCAGAGGTGTAAAATGGAGTTTTGAGTTAAGGATTGTATTCGAATAAGATTTTTTTGACTTGTTATCGATATGAAAAAATGATGACACCTTTAACCTTGGTATAAAAAGCTAATAAAGAATAATTTTAATTTTGATCCGAGAAACCAAAGTCGAATCTCCTGCATGTTATCCTCGGGACCAGAATTGTGTGGTAAAACCCTCCAGAAAGAACCCGCTTGTCATAGAAGGAGGTAAACAAGATAAGGAGGCGGAAAGGGAAAAAGAAGATGACACCCCCGAGATAATTATAGTTGGTCACAGGAAGATTTCATGTTGATAAGAATGTTGTATTCATATTCTGTATGTACTATAATTGTTATGGTTTTTCTTCTTTGCGTTATGCTTATATATTTGGATCTATGTACAATTTCGATATCTTAGCTTTGTGTTGCTTGTTTGATTGGATATAGTTGGGTTTAGCGACAACCTTAAAGAACTTTGTATGAGCAATTAAAATGTCAATAAAGGTGTTTATAAGGGAACGATTTGTGTGATGAAATTATGTTTACAAAAGATGATGTGACTTAATGATGATATAACACAAAAATCTTGCGGGGGCTATAAATAGTCCAAGTTTATAATAGTAATCTTATGCCACATGTAAATATATATATATATATATATATATATATATATATATATATATATATATATATAATATTTTATGAAGCAACTCTTTTTTCACTCAAGAAAACTTAATAAGTTCATTGGTTATTCGGTTTCGGTTTATCCTTCAATCATGGCTCTATCTATCGTAATTTCGCCTTTTGCTTTGAAAACATAAAAGATTCAAAATTAAAAATACATAAATCCATTGATTAAACCCTCTAAGAGAAGGATTTACACTACAAGAAATTACAATATTACCGGCGATAGACATCTCTACTAAAAGTAGCGTTTGTTTCCGCTAATAGTATTAGCGGCGACACGTCGCCGCTAAAACATCGCTGATGATGCTTTGTCGATGATAATCTAATCGTCGCCACTGATACGAGATGTCTCCGCTAATAACCGGGTGTCGCCGCGAAAGTCTTGTCGCTGCTCATAACCGACTGTCGCCACTAAAGGCGTCGCCGGTATTGGTAATTTTTTTTTCATATTAAAATTGAAAATAAAACTACATAAAAAGTATAAAAACTGCTATGATATTAGTTAAGCTAATCGCACATCCTTCCATTCCAAAATATTAATCCAACATTCGTTTAAAATATCCAATTTAAGATAATATAAAATATCTAAAATACTCGTCTAAAATACTTATACAAACAAAAGATACAAAAATCCTACAACTAGCTGCTCGTCATCATCGCTCTCCTCGTCTCCTCCGGTTTCATTTTGTTGTGGCAATGAACGAAACCAATCTTCAAGTGCGGCACTACATTCCCGATATTTTAACATTGTTTGAAGCATTTCCACCTACAAATAAAACACCATAGTCTTATAAGTTAAACCAACATTATAACATTCTATATACAAAATATACGTTCCACATAAATTAGCAATTACCAAATTACACATATTGCATATAACACATTATAACATTGTACTATAACTAACAGTTACCAAACTACAAAATATCATTAAAGCATTGTACTTTCATAAACTAACAATTAGCAAACTACACATATTGCATATAACACATTATAGCATTGTACTTTCATAAACTAACAATTAACAAATTACAAAATACAAATATATCAAACTATACCCAAACTAACAATTACCAACATATAAACTATTATCAAACTAACAATTACCAATATTTGAAACTATTAGTAAACCAACAATTACCAACGTTTGAAACAATTACCAAAATTAAATAGTTTTGTCACCTGTGATTGTGGTGATGGTTGTGTTAGTGGTTGGGATGATCGTACATCGACACAACCGCAGAAGGTTTACGCCTGATGCCTTTGATGTGGCGGAATGCCGGCGACAGTGGCGACAACGACGTGGAGTGACGGAGGCAGAGCGAGAAGCTTTGAAGGCAGATCAAGGACCAACGTCAGCCAAAGATTTGGCCGGTGTGGAGAGATCGTCGGTGTGGGAGGATGCAATCTTTGAAGGGAAAGAGCGAATGGAGGTGATTAATGTATTATGTAATTAGAAGCTGTACTTTTAGGTCTTTTCAGAAAAGAGATGAAAAAGTATGTTCGAGTTCTTTTGTCTTCTAGAAAACATATGGTCTTTTTTGTAAACATCTAGCCACCCGTAGATATAAGGCCCAAAAAGTCTTTTTGCCAAAAAACAAACAAGCCCTTACTTAATTACTCTTGCTCGATAATGATGTCAACAAGCAACTCTATAATAGTAAGAATATCTTCAACCATTCGCATCATCCAGTTGGTTTCCATGCTGCCATGCCAAACTTCTCTTTTCTCCACATAATTCACCCTTGCAAATGTGTTGGTATTAGACCATCTAAATCAGTGCAATTTCTGGTCTTTCGAACTTGTCATATCAACATTTACAATGATCTGTATGCCAATATTATATATCAACCTAGCTTAAAAAGTGGTCTCGACTACCACATTATCAAATATATACTCTTAACTAATATCTCTACTACTTAAAACTAATATTTATTTAATAATATTTTAACATATATATATATATATATATATATATATATATATATATATATATGAGAAGTTGCATGATGCGGTGCATTAAGAAAGTATACAAATATATTGAAGGTTGCACGGTGTCATGCGTTTTTGATCGATGGCAAACTGACGTGTACACTATTATCGACGATGAACACGACCCCTTATTTATTTTTATTTTTTTTGCCAAAGGTGGAAGTTTAATGATGTGTTTCGCCTCTTTTGCTGCCTAAAACCCTCATTTCTCCGTCCTTTTTCTATCTTCTTTTGCCAAGAACATCAACCCCTACTACCCAAATCTTCATAGGCAAAACATTAAACTTTTAAGTGGATTGTATGTAAGAAAACGACCGACACGGTGGAATCTAATATGTAATTATGTTTGTTATTTCAAAAGTCCCCTACAATAAATGTTTGCAAGTCTTTTTGGATTGAAAGGGAAAATTGGCGTGCTTGCAAAAGTATCCACGTAACACTTTGAAAGAAGCTTGAAAGAATGGATGTATGTGGTTTTATATGTTAGATGTGGATGGTTTTATATGCTAAAAGATAACTATTGATCTTGAACCATATAATATACTTTGTATAATATTTTTTTTTTATAAAATATAGGTCACATATATAGATGGACTTGTAATATATACACTTTGTTAATAAAAATATATTCAAAAGAATAATAAGTAATAAAAAAGTTTTTATTAATATGTTAAACCTCATGAATAAATTGTTCAGTTACTCCATTAATGTAGGCATAATTTGACCCCATCATTTGCTAATAACAACTCAGCATATAGTTTGCTAGTCCATCCACGTTTCATCAAATTAGATGCATGGTTCATTATTTATAGCACACATCTCTTATCAATCAAACACAAAAATACGTTTTTTTTCGTTTTCCATTCTTTTGTCAGGAACCATGAATCGCTCGACAAATCTGTTGATCTTTATTTCTTTCTTCTTTTTATCATTCACTGGAAATTTAAATCTCGTTGATGCTGGTGATACAACCTCAGTTATATTGAATTCAGGAAATTTTGAACAATTGGTTATGCAAAGTAAAGATGTTTGGTTTGTCTTGTTCGGAGCACCCTGGTAATAATTTATTCCACATATACTTATTCTTTTTTACTTTATCAGATTCAATTTTAAACCTTTATATATATATATATATATATATATATATATATATATATATATATATATATATATATGTTTTCTTTCAGGTGTCCATCTGTTAAAAGCCTTAAACCGGAGTGGGACAAGGCTTCAAAGGCTTTGGAAGGAAAGGTCAAGTTTGGTGAACTTGACTGTGATGTGGAAAATGTATTCTTCATTATTTTTATAATTTAAACTAATAATATTTTATATAATTCTTTACTAATCGATTATAATTTTTCAGGATATACAAGCAAGGTTTGGAGTAACAGGGTTCCCGACTGTTTTTGCATTTGGTCCAGATAAATGTGCACCTCCCACCGGAGTAACTGAAAGAACTGCAGACACACTTGAAAAGGCTGGCCTCTGTTACTATGACAAAGCACAGGGGTGTAAAATGGAGTTTTGAGTTGAGGATTGTATTCGAATAAAGTTTGTTTGACTTGTTATCGATATGAAACAATAATGGCATCTCTTATCAATAAAACAAAAGAATCCGTTTTTTCGTTTTCCTTTCCTTTGTCAGGAACCATGAATCGCTCGACAAATGTGTTGATCTTTATTTCTTTCTTCTTTTTATCATTCACCGGAAATTTAAATCCCATTGGTGATACAGCCTCAGTTATATTGAATTCACGAAATTTTGAACAATTGGTTATTCAAAGTAAAGATGTTTGGATTGTCTTGTTCGGAGCACCTTGGTTATTCCACATGTACTTATTGTTTTTTACTTTATCATATTCAATTTTAAACCTTTATATATATATATATATATATATATATATATATATATATATATATATATTCTTTCATGTGTCCTTATGTTAAACAACTTAAACCTGAGTGGGACAACGCTTCAAAGGCTTTGGAAGGAAAGGTCAAGTTTGGTGAACTTGACTGTGACGTGGAAAATGTATATTTTTTATAATTTAAACTAATATTATTTTATATAACTTTTTACTAATTGAATTTAATTTTTCAGGATATACAAGAAGGGTTTGGAGTAACTGGGTTCCCGACTGTTTTTGCATTTGGTCCAGATAAATGTGCACCTCCCACCACCTCCCACCAGAGTAACCGAAAGAACTGCAAATGCACTTGAAAAGGCTGGCCTGTCTTACTATAACAAAGAAGAGGGGTATAAAATGGAGTTTTAAGTCGAGGATTGTATTCGAATAAGATTTGTTTGACTTGTCATCAATATGAAACAATAATGACACCTTTAACCATGGTGTAAAAAGCTAATAAAGAATAATTTTAATTTTGATCCGAGAAACCAAAGCCGAAGCTCCTGCATGTGATCCTCGGGACCCGAATTGTGTGGTAAACACCTCCAAAAAGAACCCGCTTGTCATAGAAGGGGGTATAGATAATAAGGAGGCGGAAAAGGAAAGAGAAGATGACACCCACGAGATAATATAGTTGATTACAGGAAGATGTCACGTTGACAAGAATGTTGTATTCTTCCTTTGTATGTACTATAATTAGTATGTTTTTTTCTTTGTGTTATGCTTATATATTTTGATCTGTGTACAATTTCGAAATTTAGCTTTGTATTGCTTGTTTGATCGGATATAATTGGGTTTAGAAACAATCTAAATAAATATGGTATGAGCAAACAAATGTCAATAAAAGTATTTATAAGGGGACGATTTGTGTGGTGATATTATCTTTACAAAAGGTGGTGTGACTTAATGATGATATAATAAAAAAATCTTGCTGGCTATAAAAAGTCCAAATCAATACTAGTAATCTTACGACACAAGTCGTCTTCTTCTTCTTCTTATGATTATTATTATTATTATTATTATTATTATTATTATTATTATTATTATTATTATTATTGATATTATTATTATTATTATTCTTATTATTATTATTATTATTATTATTATTATCATTATTATTATTATTATTATTATTATGCAGCTCTTTTTCCGCTCAAGAAAACTTAATAAGTTCATCGGATATTCTTTTTTGGTTTATCCTTCGATCAAGGCTCTATCTCCGATAATTCGACTCTTGCTTTTGAAAACATAAAAGATTCAAAATTAAAAATGCATAAATCCATTAATAAAATCCTCTAAGAGAACCATCTAACCCTAAAATAAAAATAACATGGCTTTGCAAAAGGTATTATATATGTTACATGATAGCAAAGAAAAAAAGAGAATTATTTTTAATTTCCAAATAGCCTATGCGTTGGATTCCTGCTTCCATAATTCATAAATAATATTTTGGACATCTTTCGAAGGGTAAAACACTTACTTAATTACTTTTGCTCGATAATGACTTAGCAAATAATTTGCTAGTCCATCCACATTTCTTCAAATTACATGCATGCTTCATTATTTATAACACAAATCTCTTATCAATCAAACACAACAACAACTTTTTTCGTTTTCCATTTCTACATTATCAACCATGAATCGCTCCACAAATGTGTTCATCTTTATTTCTTTCTTCTTTTTATCATTCATCAGGAATTTAAATCTCATTGACGTCGGTGATACAGTGTGACATCCCCAAAATCACGGCCAGAAAAGACCGATTTCATTTATGCTTTTTTTTTAAATAAGTTCAGAGTAATCCTTTTGATTTAAAAGAGTTGCGGAATTTGTTACCAAAAACAAAATATGATAAAATAATATTTATCAAAGCATTTCATCAAGAGATGCATTTTCATTATATAATCAAAACTCGGGATGTCATGTTCCGATACAGACCATCAAGCATAAACGATAACATTACAAGTCATTCAACAAATATATACATTTACAGACTTATAAATAAAACAACTCGATGATTTATCCATCTTATGTCCTTGCGCCACTTTCTGTAATACAAATAAAACTGAGTGGGTCAGGCTTGGGAGCCTGGTGAGCATATAGGGTTTTCAACCCACAATAAATAAATTATATTTCATTTCACTAACCAACACCCAATCCCGTTATCCTCACTTTACGTCCCAAAAACAACATCTATCTCAAGGGACCTAATCTAGGATTTTCATCGGGACGAACATTACTGCTAAGGGGTTTCCTCAACAATAGATATCCTAAAGGCAACCATGAGGGGGATAGAGTACACCGGTGAATACATCATTCATAACACGTATAGGTTATGAACCTGCTAGCGTTCCACAAGACTGTCTAGAAGGAGTCTGTGGTCGTTATCCATAATCCACTGAATAATTAGGTCAACAACAACAACATCGAGGCATCTCATCTGTTTATCACACATCAACTATCTACCCATGTTCTACCCAACATATTAGTAGATAAAAATATATATATTTTTATACATAGTTTTAAACCTGTATAGTATGTTCAAACAATACATATTCCACATAACAGATGAGGCACACACACATAACACATATTTCATAGTGAATAAATCGGATCTGTGAGATAGAAGAAAGTGAATATACATTCACACACATAACAACAAAATTATACACATAACGTGTATTTCGTATAAAATACTTCGTAATTATGCGTTATAAGAAGGTAACTACACACTCACTTGATCAGAAGATGATCAGACAGCACTACGGCTTATAGTAGTAGTAATCCTCAGCAGATCTGGAAGATCTCCACAAAAATCGAACTTCTCACAGGCAGAGCTTTGGCTCGGGAATCGCACTTCTGGAGATCCCGGGAGCGTGAAACTTCCTTCTTAACTCGTATATGAGATCCGGGGCGTCGGGATGGCTTCGGGGGTTTACACGTAGAGCTTCGACACAAAAAGGAGGAGAAATGAGCAAATAAGCTCGGAACCCTCGCATCCTATTTATAGGAGGCTGAAGCCTCGCAGTACGCTGGGCGTACAGCCGTACGCGGGGCATACGCCTTCGAAATCGTCACTGCATGCGTCATCCGAAGAACTCGAGTGCGAGGCGTGTCATGCTTCGCTGTACGCCGAGCGTACGCCAATACGCTGGGCATACTTCGGATATGTCTGGTGACTCCCCTTCGGATAATATCGGATATAATAAATAAATTTAAATATTAATTATTTAATAAACTTTGAAAATTCATATCTTCTTCATACAAACTCCATTTTTGACGTGCTTTATATCCACGCGTAGGTGACGCTACGCTCTACAACTTTCGTTTAGACTCTGTCGGCTAATTTTGAATTTATTTTTCTTATTTATTTTTAGGAGACCGGGACAGAAAAACTTCGTCATAAATTCATAATTTCTTCGCCCGACGTCCGTTCTCGCCTAACTTTTCATCGTTTCGCTACTAACAATGAGATCTTCGATTCTCATTTAGATTGTTTCGGCTAAAAACCGCTCGATCTCAACTCGAGTATTCGGGCAGTATACTACCAAGTCGAAACTTCAGAAAATCATAACTTCCTCATACGAAGTCAGATTTGGGCGTTCTAGATATATTCGGAAACCTCGTTTCAACTACTACAACATTATCCAAAGATATCGAGTTTATTTTATACTTAAATTTTTACGCTCATTTTATTCGTAATTAATCATAGCGCATAATTAAGCAATTAAGCATGAAACATATAATACTCAAATAATACGTTCTTATTATTTCAAATTGGGTTACAAAGGTTAACCTAGACTTTTACATTGCTAAAAATGGCAAGCCCAGAAACACAGGCATTACAATTCTCCGCACCTTAGAATGATTCCATCCCCGGAATCACACATCAACAAACAAATGCGGATAGCGACCCATCATGTCACTCTCCGTCTCCCAGGTGAGATTCGACCCATTCGTGTGTTTCCATCGGACAAGCACTAACTCAACCATCTTACGTCGCAACTTCTTAGTTTTTCGGTGAACGATTGCCTCTGGTTCTTCAATCAACCTTCTGTTCTCATCGATTCTTAACTCCGAAAGTGGAATCATGTTGGGAACTTCTCCTATGAACTTCCTCAAATAACACACATGAAAAGTGTTATGAATTCCATTCAGTTCATCTGGTAGTTCGAGCTTGTAAGCTTGGTTCCCAATCCTCTAAAGAACTTTAAACGGTCCAATAAACCTTGGACTTAATTTTCCCCTTTTACCCAATCTTATAAGTCCCTTCCACGGCGAGACTTTAAGCAAAACCGAATCTCCAACTTCAAAAGTCATCGGTCTTCGCTTGTTCTCAGCATAGCTCTTTTGACGGTCCTAAGTTGCTAACATTCTTTCCCTAATTATTTTCAACTTTTCAGCAGTTTGATGAACCATCTCCGGTCCCATAAACTGCTTTTCCCCAGCCTCAATCCAACAAGACAGCGTACGACACTTATGTCCATACAAAGCTTGATAAGGTGCCATCTTTATGCTCCAGTGGAAACTATTATTGTATGAAAATTCTAATAAAGGTAAATGTTCATCCCAATTACCTAGGAATTCCAAGGTACATGCTCTGAGCATATCTTCAAGTGTTTGTATCGTCCGTTCGCTCTGACCATCATTCTGCGGATGGTAAGCTATACTTAAACACAACTTGGTACCCAATTCCTCTTGTAGACTTTTCCAAAATCTCGAGGTGAAACGTCTATCACGATCCGATACAATCATTAACGGAACACCGTGAAGCCTCACAATTTCCTTCACGTAAGAATTCGAAAGCTTTTCCATAGACCATTTCTCCTTGGCTGCTATGAAATGTGCACTCTTAGTGAATCGATCAACGACCACCATAAATCATGTCGTAACCATTCTTTGTTCTGGGC